TCTAAAGGTCCCATATATTTAAGTCTAGTTAATAACTCAGAGATCAGAACATCTGTTTCCCACTTCCCAGATGAGGACACTGAGGTAAAAAGATTTGCCTAAGGTTGCACATACTTATGTGTGGGAAGGGAGGTTGGGGAACTGTTTTGGGATTTTAATTCAAGACCTTGTATATGCTAGCCAGGCAAATTGAGCCATGCCCCTATGACTTTGGCCATGCCCCCATGAGTTTGGCTCTTATCTATAGTTCAGATAGAGTCCCTTGCTTTGTCTGGGACTCCTCTCAGACTTTGGAGAATCATGCTATGCCTCCCCATAAAGCTAGTATTACAAACATGTGCCACACACCATCTTATTAAGATGAGGTCCCACTAACTTTCGCACAGACTAACCTTGAACCATGATTTCCTTGAACTGTGATTATAGGAATGTGCTACGAAGACCAGTTTGCACTTTCTTTCTTTGCTAGAAAGTAAGAGTGGATCTGAGCCTTGTCTATAACTTGATACAGCATTGGCCTCAGGTAGAAAATCCCTTCTGCAGTGACAATCTGTTACTACAGTGGCTGTGACTCCAGGGCAGAACAATCTTTTTCCTCTTGGAGACAGTATTTGTTGATTAATCGTAAATGAACTTACATATAGAATACTAGTATACAGATATTGCATTTATCTTCTCTAGTGCAGTATATACGGTGAAATAACAAATAAGACAGGAAAATATAATATTTCATGAAGATTCTCTTACCAAAAAAACAAACAAACACTGAGTCCTTTGTTGGACTTTTTATTAAATACCCAGGGTATACCAGCACCAGAGCCAATACTGAAGATAAAATACTACCCCAAAGGCATAACCCCAACCCTGAGTACTTCCAAGCCCACCAGGAGAAAGAAGAAAAGGGATGATGAGGAACACAGCATGCCCAGCAGTGCACAGGATATGAAAGACCACACAAAGGAGGGGATGCCACTTAGGCTGTACCACTTGCCACAACTTCACAGGCAGATGACACACAAACACACATGCAGGGAGCCTAGAAATGTGGTGTCTTTAAAACAATGTTATATTCACTTCAATGTTTCCTGCTTTTAAAATAATGCCTGTTACTCTATGCATTCACATAGTGAGACCAAAGGAGGATATTCTTAGGAGAGGAACATAAAGGTGCAATGACTATTTGCCTCTGATCATATAAAATAATATTTATCAAAACGAACTGCAGGAAATGGGGGGAAAAATGAGACCTGTTTTCATGTTAAGTGTTTTACTGCAGTTTTAAAAAAGTGAATTGAAATGGCAGTTGCTAAGGGCATGCACAGAGGATATATATTTACCTTCCAATGGATACCAGTGCAAATTATACACAAGCACAAGTAGCAATAGAACAAAAAATTCCCATTTTTCCTTATCTCTTTATTTTCAGTTTCTCATGACAAGAATTTAAATTGTTCTTATTTTCTGTCTATAAACCTGAAAAGATTCAGATGTGTCTAGTCCTCCAAGACATGGGGTGACAAAGAAGCCCCCCATCATCCAGCCAGGAAATAGAGGCATGGCAAACTCCATACCAGCCACAAGTGACTCATTCATTTCTGCCCACGGTTGTTGGCAAGATGAAGGAATGGCCGATGTGGTAGGGAGCGCAACACCCCAGGGAGGGGCAGTGCAGTCCAGTCTGCTGCACTGGAGTCTTGTTCCTTCCACACACATCTGAGTGTTAGTGCTCATTTTTTGGAGAGTGACCTCTTTCTTCCCCTCTGCTGGGGAGCTGCTCATGCTACCTACTGCTGCTCTGCATCCTCTTCCTCTTTTTCAGGTCTTAGCTCACCATTGCCTTCTCAATGAGGCCTGTAAACAGCTCACCCCAAGCCAACAGTGAATGAGTATGTGAGTGTGTGTGTGTGTGTGTGTGTGTATACATACACATATATACTTACACTCTGGAACAGACCAATGAATATAGCAAAAAAAAATTTAACCAGTATAAGTTTAGGCAATTCATTCAATCCTTCTGCAAACCTGAACTTTTTCTGGATAAGAAGTTGAGGTAATGCTGGGCACGGGTGGCTCATGCCTGTAATCCTAGCTACTCAGGAGGCTGAGATCTGAGGATCCCAGGTCAAAATCAGCTGGGGCAGGAAAGTCCATGAGACTCTTATCACCAATTAACCACCAGAAAACTGGAAGTGGTGCTATGGCTCAAATGGTAGAGCGCTAGCCTTGAGCTGAAGAGCTCAGGGACAGCACCTAGGCCCAGAGTTCAAACTCCATGACCAAAACAAAGAAAACAAGAAGCTGAGGTAAAATTTAGACTCACTAGCTAGAGAAAACTGGTCCACTATACCTAGGAGGGGTGATTAAGAGTTGAGGAGACAGTAGGAGGAAGGGAGAAAGAGAGAAGGTAGTAAGCAGCATGCACAAGGCTGGTTATGATGATATACACCAAGGAAACCCCAGCACTATTCAGATTCTCAGTTCCAGTCTCTTCCCATGACCCAGCCTTTTTTTTCCTCCCCCTTGGGTTCAGAAATAGGACTCCCATGTACTTAAATAAATCCTACTTACTTCAGCTCAATAAGTTGTTGTATTAGTTATTGTGTGTACACTTATAAATACTTCCACTCCCCAGAGACACAATCAGCAGTTTGTGCAGAGTAGCAGCTTGCTTTCTTCACTATTATGTTTTCAGGATTCAAATTCACTTATATTAACTCCAGATGAATGTCAAAACTAGACCATCCATAAGAGTACTGTAAAAACCTAGTAACTTAGAAAACTTACCATGCCTGAGCTGTGCCCTTAACCTGAGTTTCTTCTTCAGAACAAGGACCTGTCAGCCATGCAAGGCACACAGAGATGTTGGCAGGTGCATAGAGGCTCTGTGAGAACTCATACTGCTTACTTAGGAGAGGGTCACAAGGCAAGATAGTAAGGCCATTATCTGAGACTGCCCACCTCACTTCTTCGAAAGTGATCCCTCTAGCTAGTTATTAAGGGAGGAAAGGGAGAAAAAGGAAGTTTTAAAAAAAAAAGAGGGAAGGAAAGAGGGATAGATGTCTGGATATGTCTGTAAGGGCCTCTTACAGAGAGGAACCAGAGGAAGACCTGGCTTGAACATGGATGGCACCATTCCCAGAGGCTGGAGGGTCACTGTAGGAGGAGGAAAAAATGAAAATAGAAGATACACACCAAATCTCCCTAGCATCTCTGCAAGGATTCTAAAATACACAGAAGGATGAATCCCTGCTCCTTAGAAGCCAAGGTGCTTATTCCACAGTGATGTGAGGAATGCCTTATTTTCTGATGATCACATAAAGGACCATTTCAACATCTAGAACCTTGAGAGGTGGTTTGGTGGTTTGTCCAATCGACTGACTCACAGCAACTTACTTGGGAAGCCCTCCCCAGGCAGCAAGCTTAAAATGCCTCTCTGTGGTCAGTGTGATGTGTGCAAGGGAGAGGTGTAGGGCAACAGGGTGGACAGAGAGAATGTCCCTTGGGAAGAAGATATGCCTGCTGGCCTTTACTTCATGGCCTTGCCATCGGTTGCCTTTACCTCCAGGGCTTTATCTATGTCTCTTTATCTCCCAGGATGCATGAGCTGGATGGCTTCTAGTTCTTGTCCAAGTCACACACAATAGGAGAACTCGTAAGCAGGGCCAGTTTCTCTACTTCTTTAGAGAAACCCTCAGAACAACTGTAGTCCTAGACTGCAACTAGTCCTCCTTCCCCTTCCTGGCTCTGGAGAATGACTTCTTCGTTCCACAAGGGCAAAGCTCTGCCTGGCAACAGTGTCACTTAGACTTTTAATGGGAGGGAGTTGATCTGCCCTGAGGTCTGCATGGCTATGACAATTGCTGATGCTGCTGCAGAAAGGGAGGCAAGCTCCATGTGAGCATGTGCTGATCCTGGGGCCTGAACTCAGGGCCTAAGCACATCTTTACCAGGTCCTCCCCGTGCTGCCCAGCAGATTCTGTTCTATCAAGGCCAGACCTTTCAGCCCAGGAGGTATCATGATTGGCAACCTCATGCTCTCAATACACCAGCACTGACCAAGTGGTGGGGATTTTTTTTTTTTTGTCGGTCTAGCGCTCTACCACTTGAGCCACAGCACCACTTCTGGTTTTCTAGTGGTTTATTGGAGATAAGAGTCTCACCTGCCTGGGCTGGCTTTGAACCATGATCCTCAGATCTCCTGAGTAGCTAAGATTACAGGCGTGAGCCACCTGCGCCCAGCTGGTGGGGTTCTTATCTTCTGCACTAAGGTTAGATAAAAAAAAAATTCATGCTAGCATCTCCCAGCACCTGCCCATGTGCTCTGCCCCTCCTGCCCGAGCTCTGATTAGTGACATGCACTGAAGTGATTCTCCAGGCACCAGATCAGCACCAGTTTGCAGGACACAGTGACAAGCTTGGGCTGGGGCACTGACTGTGGGCACTGATATTCTAGTGTCCCCACTACCAGCACCCTGTGCATCACTGCCAACCCCTGCCTGGCCTTAGGTGTCACACCATCCAGTGCCCTTGTCTACTGCAGCCCAAGCCCTACCACTCACTATCTGGTGCCCCATTGTCTGGCTTTCCATTCCCCACTACTCAGGTCCAACTACTCCCTCAACTACCACCTACTTCCTGGTGACCCTCCCCTCACTAGCTGCTGCCCCTCACCCCACCATCTGACTCCCTGTGCCTACCACCCAGCTCCCAAGAACTTTCTCCAATTAAAGCTCTGTGTGTGTGTGTGTGTGTGTGTGTGTGTGTGTGTGTGTGTGTGTG